GCAGATTGCAATCACTTCAAGATTATCAATATGGGTCCAGAAATCACCGACTCTGAAAATATTGTGGATTGACTTCCAGAATAATTCACGGTGGAGCCGTCTTAAATTTGTTGAACGTATAGATTTCCAAATCATTTCGTCGGTTGGGGTGTAACTAGAAATTTCATGCACTGAGCAGCGGATACGGTCTAAATTAATAAATGTTGATTTCCTAAGTGGCTCTGGATAGGTATGCTTGATGATTCTTGTAAAAATTCGTTGGGAGCCTTGTGAGATTAGAATGCCGGGACAATTGAACATTACATCTATTTGAGTATCAACCTCGAGCGAAGGGCATCGGTCCGCATTTAAAGTAACAGGGAAAACATTGGTTGTCTTCTTGAACTGTGTCCGTGCAATTCGCTCATTCAGCGCTGCAAAGACTGCCTTGAAAAGCAGGAAGCTTGGGTCTAACATATTATTTTCTGATTTTGTTCGCTCCTTAATCAGAGTCTTGAGCAAGAAATCGGATGTGGAGCATACTAGTAAGGGGGCAGTCTTAGGGAATTTCTGGAATAGGACGAGGGCAGCACCTAGTATTCCCGATTTGAAGGTCAAATCTATGCTTGAATTGTCAAATGTGAGGCACACAGTTTCATCTTCCTGTAGGTCGCGTGAAACAATCTTAAATCTGGCGATAATTTGATGGTCATACTGGCCGGCCCGTGAAACTTTTATATGGATAAAGGCTGTTATTAACTCAGGGGGGGGGGGGGGGGGGGCTGGTTGGACTTGTCGTCTTGCAGCAATTTCAGTTAATGAATCGTCGCCAGCAAAAATCCGGAAGCCATTTTTGGCACTAAGCAATCTGAAGTTCGGATCATAGGTCATTGGTTTGTCGATTTCAATCTCACGATGGTTAGTATCCATCTCCTCAGCCGTTAGGTCAAGATCGTCGCAAAGGTCAGTCATTGGAATCAGTGGATTCCATTTAGGCATAATACAGTCAATTAGCAGTTGAGCAGTGTCAATACACTTGCCGGGGTTTGGGCAGCCAAGCTCATTTCGATCTCTGTTACATGGTGGGCACCCACAATTTTTCCGCCCAATCCCACTGGGGTTAATAGTATGTGATCGTCTTACCACTGTGGTTCGCCTTGTAGCAATTATAAGGGCATCTCGAACAGTCCGAACATCATGTTGGGTTCTGAGGCAGGTTGCAGCATCGCGAAGGCAGGCATTTTTGTAGGCTGGGTAGCGGACAGAGGGGTGTTTCCACATTGGCATATCAAGCTGCACTTCACGGTCGATTGAGAGTGCTGTAAATTTGAGATTAAACTCATGGGCTACAGATATCATGAGCTTGAGGTTGTCAGATATTGTGTTCGACCTGGGGATAGGGAAATGGATGCTGTGTAAGAAAATGTTGATGATTTGACCAGGTCTGATATTTAGGTAGCTGGTCTCTACGTAATTTTTGAGTATGTAGTCAACGAAATAGCACCACAGCGGTCGATCTTTCCCTTGCATGAGATAGCATTGTAGGTTCCAAAGATCAATTGCTTTATTTCGGGAGGATATATCTAAGATTCTTTTCCCTCCTCGATTAGCTGGGAGGATCATTGTCTCGAGCGCTACTCTGGCTGTCTTTCCGTCCCACAAGAAGGATCGTATCAGTTTTCCAAGGGCTTCTTCAATGTCCTTTGGCATTCCTTGGACTCTAGTCAGATACTGTGTTCGACCTCCAATTACCATGCTAATGATATGGCGCTTCCCTTCTAATGTAGGGTGTGTTGTTTGCCAGCGCATGATATCAATTTTCTCCAAGACAGAGGGCCATGGTGTCATATAAGGAATTTTGTTTCCAACCCATGCACCTAGCATACGGCAGCTTTCGCCATCAGGTACAATTCGAATAGATCTGTTTATTGCTCCAACCGGGCATTGAGTGTTAATTCGTCTTTCGTTGATGACTTTCTCACGATAGGAGGGGCTTCCAAAGGGAAGGAGTACTGTTTTGTGTTCATTGAATTTCGCAGTTGATGCTGCACACCAGAGGCGTAGAATGCCCCACAAAGTCTCCATGGAGTCGGTTGATTTCAAGTAAATTGTTGTATCATCAGCAAAAAGTGATAACACCAGGTTCTTGTTTGTTCCAGGAATAATTATTCCCTTGATATCAGATTTACGGAGTAGACATGCCAGGGGTTCAATGGCTAGATTGAATAATAAGCAGGAAAGAGGATCTCCCTGTCTTACACCGCGGGTAACAATATATGGTTTACTGAGTTCGCCGTTGACCATGACAACTGTTTTAGCATCAGTGTAGAGGCTTTTAATTGTCTTTGAAAATTTTGGGGGGAAGCGCATATGGTCGAGCACATGCAGGAGATAGTCGTGGTTAATTCGGTCGTATGCCTTTTCTTGGTCGAGGGCAATAAGAATTCCATCTTCTTCCGCCACTTCGGCATAGTTCAACAGGAATTTGGCTAATTTGACCTGATCCTCAATTTTTCGCCCTTTCATGAACCCAGCTTGGTCTGATCGTATCAGAGAGGGGGCAACATTCATTAATCGCATTGAGTAGGCTTTCGTCCTAAGTTTATAGTCCGTATTCAATAGTGTAATCGGCCTGTAGTTGCTAATGAGACATGTGTCTCCTTTCTTAAACACTGGGCATAACCATCCCATATTAAAGTTACACCCATCTGCTATTCCAAATTGTTCAATGTCGCAGTATAAGTCTGCCAGGAACCCGAGGATATTGAAAGCCCTGCCCGGTTTGTCTTTTGACTTTCTGTATTCAATGTCCATTAATTTGAAGAATTCATATCGGATGCCGTTTACACCAGGGGCCCTGCCATTACTGGATAGTTTGAGTGCACTTCGTACATCCTCTTCTGTCAGAATTTTGTCCAATTCATTGTACTCCTCCTCGGATAATTGTGCGTCACAACTTTTAAGCACTTTTTCAGTGCACATCACTCGACCATAGTCGTCCTCTTCCGAGATATCGGCATGTTGGACATACTCGTGGTAATTACGCGCCATTTCCGCCATTTGTTTCGGTCGGGTTTCAAAGTGCGGTGTAGTTGAATCATTGTCCGTTGTTCTGAATTCATTTATGGTGCTTCTGAGATTGTATTCCTTAGTGGATCGAGTCCAGTACCCAGTTGTCAGGGATTCACCCTCAATGTCATATCGAGCTTCGGACTGTGCTTTCTTACGGTCAGCTTCTTCTTTACAGCCAGTTGCGGAACTTAGGGCGCGGCCCTTTTTTTAAAAAATTTAGATGTTTCGGATATTTCAGCTCTACTGAGCTCAGTTCTTCACTGATTCCCTTGAAACTATGATCAATAGATTTGCCTTGCGATTCCGGAGGGAGTGACGTTCGAAAATAAGTAAGAGGCATGGGAATTGCCTTTTTCAGCAAATTTTGAGGCATCTTCTCCTATCAGCTCTAGTATTAAATATACTGATCCGATTGACTTAGTTTTTGGATATATCATACTTACATGTAGTACCTGGGATGTGTCGTGCCCAGATAAGGATTAAAATGTTTTGTTCACATCTGGCATGGGACTTAAAACTAATTGAAATTGAATACTGTAAGGCTTTTGAATAATAAGGTATTTTGACGATCTGGGCACGACACATCCCAGGTAATACATGTAAGTATGATATATCCAAAAACTAAGTCAATCAGATCAATATATTTAATGCTAGAGCTGATAGGAAAAGATGCCTCAAATTTGTCGAAAAAGGCAATTCCCACGCTTCTAACTTATTTTCGAACGTCACTCCCTCCGGAATCGCAAGGCAAATCTATTGATCATAGTTTCAAGGGAATCAGTGAAGAACTGAGCTCAGTAGAGCTGAAATATCCGAAACATCTAAATAAAATAAAAAAAGGGCCGCACCCTAAGTTCCGCAACTGGCTGTAAGATAAGTTTCAATCTTCCCTTCTAGGTATAAGATTTCAAGATGCTTTTCCTCAGTGGGGAGGTCTTCATCATTGAGTATAAGGTGCTTCTGTACTGTCCAAGTACGAATCTGGCGTGATCTTTCATTGACCAGGCGGGAGCAATTTTTGCCTTCGGCGGTGAAGTCATCTTTGTATTTCTGCCACAGAGTTTGGATATTGTGTTTGCTCTGTCGTCCAGTGCGCTTTAACTCTTCCCATTCTTCTGAGAGATTATTTGACCGGGCACAGATGTATTTCATAAATTTCGGAGTTTTGAGGAGGTACACGGGGAAGTTCCATATTCCTGGTCCATACTGCTCATCACCTCGGCATGTCAATTGGACGGAGATTAAATAGTGGTCACTGGCAATTAGGCTGGGTTGGATTGCCCAGTTTCGATATCGTTTAAAGCGGTCGACCGGGACGTATATTCGGTCAAGGCGTGAACTGGATAAATGTATCTCATTGGTGGTTGGATTTGTGCGCTGTGAGCCATCACATTGTGATAGCTCCCGACATGACCTCAAAACACCGAACTCCGAGAACAACGCCTTAAGCCTTCAACTAAAAACGATATCCGGACCCAACTAGTGGCTTGATGGAGAATCGAACTCCAAACCTTCCGTCAACCGATATACGAATGCTATAAGTGCACAGAATGCGTTACCATTACGCCAACAGGCCATTTGAGGATCGAACTCAAGACCACAAAGGACCGACTCCGAGTAAAAACTTATGGCTTGATGGAGAATCGAACTCCGAACACTCCATCAGCCGATATGAGAAGGTTAGATACACAGAGCGCGTTACCATTACGCCACCAAGCCATGGCCGAGCCATCACATTCGACGTGACCACAGACCGACTCCGAGTAAAAAGTCATGGCTTGACGGAGAATCGAACTCCGAACCCTCCATCAGCCGATATGAAAATGTTAGGTACACGGAGCGCGTTGCCATTACACCACCAAGCCATGACCGGACTACCAAAAATGACAATTACCACTACGCTACCAAGCCACAAAGGACCATGACAAAAATCATATCCAGACCCAACATGGCTTGACGGAGAATTGAACTCCGAACCTTCCATTAGCCGATATAAAAATGCTAGGTACACGGAGCGCGTTGCCATTACGCCACCAAGCCATGACCGGGCTACCAAAAAATGACAATTACTACGACGTAACCTCAAAATGCCGAACTCCGAGAACAACACCTTAAGCTAGTAAAAATGATATCCGGACCCAAACCATGGCTCGACGGAGAATCGAATCTCCGGACTCTCCGTCAATCGATATAAAAATGTGCATATTACGGAGTGCGTTACCATTACGCCATCAAGCCGTAGGAGTCGAACGACCAGTCAAAATTATCACCGTAAAAAGAATGGTTTCCGTCGGAATGGCTCAGCGGAGTAATCGAACTCCGAACTCTCCGTAAAGCATACTGTGAACTACATAGGAATGCGGAGTGCGTTACCATTATGCCACCGAGCCATAGGAATCGAACGACCGGCCGAAACTATCCCCATGAAAAAGAAGGGTTTTCTTCATAATGGCTCAGCGGAGAATCGAACTCCGAACTCTCCGTAAAGCATACTGCGAACTTCATAGGAATGCGGAGTGCGATACCATTACGCCACTGAACCGTTCAAAACGTGCCCTATCTTCTTACTCGATGGACAAAAAGAACGGGCCCGTCGGAGAATCGAACTCCGGTCCCTCCATTATTTCAGTTTCCCGCCAGCTACGCGAACAGAGTGCGTTACCACTACGCCACCGGACCATGTGTGCGAGTAATACGAAGGTCCGGTAAGAGGCGGACGAGAAAGGAATGGTAAAGAGGAATGGCTCGATGGAGGATTGAGCTCCAGGACTTCCTGCAAAAGAGGTGCTTGTGCAAGAACCATGGCAGGATGCATTACAGTTACGCCATCGAGTCGCGAATACCAAACTGGCCCGAAAGGATGGAACAAGGACTCCGGGTAGCCAAAAAGGTGGGTAACACGGGAAAAGGGCTCGACGGAGGATCGAACTCCGGACTCTCCGTAAGTCAAACACTGGGGTGTCAGGATACGGAGTGCGTTTTTCCACTACACTATCGAGCCATCACAGGCGGAAGCGGATAGGAAGGGAGCTAGGACCGGACATGGAGTGTCCGAGGCCAGGGCCAACAAGTCCGGGTTGCGGAATCGGTACCGGACTGAAGATGGTGTGGGTAAGGGTTCACGGAGTACTAGAATGAGTCATGAACGAACTCCGAGGCGGGGGAGCGTGCGAGCGAGCAGGTATGGGACACAAAGGAACAACTCCGGCACAGCCTTGGGCTGGGGGTATAAATACTACAGCTAGTCTACCAAAATATCATCTCAGTTTCGGCCCACATCCTCACCTTCTAAGCCTTAGCCAGCTTAGGAGTAGCTAAATATCCGCCCTGAACATCACCTAGAGGTCACCCGGAGTCGAGTTACACATTAAAGCGACCCCGGTACTCCCCCGTCGCCGTCAGACAGCGAACGGAGTTTATATTTCGGCATAAAAAGTTCAGCGCTGGAGAAAATCGAACCGTTTATTCCTCCCCTACGCAAGTAGGGCAGTGAAATCTCTCAAACAGCACAACGAGGTCTTCGGAGTTCGTGTGTAGCTGCTAGCTAAGGAAGTTGGCGGTGCAGAGCCCGCAGGAAGTCGCCTTCAGCAAGCGAACGGGTGAGAAGTAGAGAGAGGAAACTCCGTAGAAGCACAAAGAGGGGTAAAGGGAGGAGGAATTGCCGGAACGTTATCGCGAACACATAAATCCCCCGGTCTTATGATCTACGACTCAAAGATACTTCGGACGACTGGTTCGTGGTCCAGGAAGCCCCCAAATCCATATTTCACCTCGGACTTGATGAATTGGACCCCGCATCGCCTTCCGAAGCTCCTCCCCAAGGAAGTGTGGAACAGATTCAATCTCCGTTAACCCGAGAAGGCTAACTAGGCATCGGAGTTCGCTCGGACCACCCTAGCTAGTAGGATTTTGAACTAACTGTTCGAATCCTTGTACGGATATCCCCACCAATAATATTTAAACCTCCCTACGTACTTGTCTACCGCGACAGAACAAATTCCCCCTAGAGGACGAGCATTTAAACATAGCCCGGATCTCCCCACCATCTGGCAGTTTAAAGCACCGCAGTCCGCATCACAGCGCTTCTGGAAGCAAGTATATTCATTTGTATCAGGGAATGTTGTTCTCCAACCGTCTTGCATGCGGAAGAGCGCTTTCAGGCATATGAAGCTCAGGGGCACTGATTCCTCCTTGTTCGATGTACGATCTTTAACATTTTCAACAAAGTTCCAATCACCCAGTGTTTCGGTTGGAAGTGGGAGCTCCCTATTGTTCAGGTAACAGTACCATATTTGAGCCCACATTCTCTCTCTTTCCTGAGGTGTATTTGGGGTGTAGATATTCAAAATATTGATCGTCTCTCCCCTATGTGATGGGATAACAAGCATGATTGCATGTCCCTCAATGAGGACGTACTCTTTTACATTTTCCGTGTCGACATATTTTTTATTCAGAAGAAAGCTAACTCCAGCTGTGGAATCTGGTTTTATTGGGTGGCCCGAATTGAATAGCTTGAACCAATTCCTGTAAATGTTATTGAACTGGCTAGCAGCAACATTGTCCATGTGCGTTTCTTGTAAGGCAAGTACACCTATCTGGTTATCATCAACCATCTTCTTCATGTACGTAAATTTGTGTCCTGTATTGTTCATAGATTTATTCTTTTCTCTCCCGTTGATATTTTGAGACGCAATCATTACATTCGAACGTGTGAACTTTGCTGAGTGAGCAAGTTTGACCGGTTTATTCCTCTCTCTGCTGTTTATATTAATCTCTTCCCAGTTTTCGGGGATATTATATTGCCCTGTGTTCATATTTCCAGGGGTTGTGTTTGGCAGTATGGGTAGCTTGTCAATATCATGAATATCTGTTTGCGAGTTCGGATTTACTGCAGTGTGTAAATATTTTCTATGGGAGTCGTTACACGTTCCCTCTACATCTCCCATAATTATATCCGGAATGTCATCTGTACCGTTCTCAATATGGCCGTTAGGTCTCTTCCACAAATTGGGAGGCACCACGGTCGATACGGGCATCAGCCAAGGCGACTCTTGATCTGCGGCAGTCATATTTCGAAGGTCTGTAGGGGAACAGGGATGCTGCCCCTCGCCTATCGCTGTAGCAGCCAGAGCAGCAGAGCTGCCACAGAAGGGGTCTCGTATTGGGTAGTCGGGGTTGGACCCCAGGTTACCACGACTCCTGCTGATCTCACTCTGTGAACTCGCAGCCGGCAGGCACTGACGAGAGGGATGTACCACGTCCCGAAACCCTCCCGTGAACCAGAAGGGTCTTCGGTACTAAACTGAATATTTGTGTTGTGTATAGGCATGTTTTGGGTGCGTTTTAAGACCGCCGTCGTGATTGGGATCCATTGTTTTATTAGTCGCTGACAGTAGGTAGCTATGAAGCAGCTAGAGTCGAGGGTCTAGTCACTGTTGCAAATTGGCCAGTATTTGGCTCCAGATCTCAAGGTGCGGTTGATTTTACAATAGCTAGTCTGGCTTGTTAGAGCATGGGGAACATATTCATAGAAGCATAGATAGCATAGGTACATTGCATATGAATCAGTAAGAGTAGCCACCAAAGCGCGAGTTCGATCCGTGGTTACGAGGCCCGCCACGGCCACCGCGAAAATCGGGCTGCCAATCCCGGCCGCTCCCACCATCGCGATATCCATTAAATCCGCCCTGTCTGCGGTCGCGTCCTCCGCTGCGATATGCGCTCGTGCGGTTTGACGGACCCGGGGAGTCGGAAGTGTCCATCTCGTCGTTCAGCGAGGTTGGGAGTTTCGAAACCGCGTTCCATTCGGGGGGGAGGTCACGGTGAGTCCCGCGGCGAAGGAGATAGGCGTCGGAAGTGGCGATGGTGCAGTTGTAGCGGTAGTGGTCAACGCTGTGGCAGGTGCCCCATATTCGGGGCACTGCGCGAGGTATTCTATGTGGTGGACTGCATCGACGAGGATATGCTTCTGTGTGTACATGAGATAGATTTATGATTTATCAATGATATTTACTTGACATCCAAGGATATATCAATTGTCAGCAGAGAGCGCGAGCTCCGTGAGGACCAACTCGCAGGCCATTCAAACCCGTCTGAAGCCTGTAAACAAATTGAGACACTTTGAACGTCTCGAGACTGGTTACAAGCCACCCCGCCAGTGGCTTCGGACCGGTTACAATCCCACCCAAGCCGAGAAGCCGACCCAATCCGTTCCAACCGATTTGGGTTTTTTCCGACATAACGCTGCCCGCGCCCCACCCCCTTAGCGTCCCACAAAGCGGTACCGCGTCAACCATAGCGGCCGTACTGCGCCTACTCAGTGCACTGCTCTTCTACTAGCGCCGCCGTCTCCTGGGACTTCATCTCGGCGCCTTCCTCTGACACTGAATCGCGCCCCGCTTCTGCTCCCCAAATACTTCGTCCTCTCTATCCAACTCTGCCCCAAGCTCGCTTGCGTGCCGGTGGTTCCCGGTCCCTCTCTTGCTGTGTCGGCCCCCCTGCTCCCGTGGTGCTGATTCGTCTCTCAACCGTGCACTGTGTTCGTTCATTCGTCCGAGTGCGCATCGCCTCTAGACCCCATGCTGTCTCTTCCTCCCTGCAGTACGACATCTCGGTTTCCTCGCTCGCTCCTAGCCCCTTCTGCTCTCTCCTCGCCTGGTCCCTTCTCTGCTTGTATTTTCTGCGAAATGTGCCTGGGGTGGGACTGTCACTGCGTTCCGCCCCGTTGTCGGCCCAGCTCGGCAGACCTTGCCGACCTGTGCTGAGCTCAGTCGACCTCTGCGGACAGGCATTGACAGAGTCTGTCGACCTCAAACCAAGGACTCAACAGACTCTACCGACCCGGGTCGGCAGAGCTCGACCGAGCTCAGCACAGGTCGACAGGGTCTGCCGACGGGCCCAAGGAACGCAGTGTGTGCCTAAGCCTCGGTAGCCGTGTATTACACACTTTCTCTTTGTAAATACAATTCAGCTTCACCTTCGACTCGCACCGCAACGATTAAAGTAGGCAGATTGACCCCGTTTTACCAGACGCCCTGCAC